ACTCATCAAGATGAATTCTTTGGCTCCTCTGTGAGGGAGAGAGGATGGAGGAAAATATTTTGAGGGGTGGAGGCCAGAGCAGGCAAACTGGGCAGAGGGTAAACTTCCTGAGATGAGGGCGAGGATCAGGTTGGGCTGGAGGGTGTCTATGTCTGTGCAGCTGCCCCTTGAGGACTGGCAAGGGTGACCTTTGTGCCCCCCGGCTTTGAAAACGGTGGAGAGGCTCTCTGAGGATGAGACTGTGGTCAGAGCAGTGCCCAGTGAGAGCTTGTCTTTGGCATTCCTGGGAGCCAAGGGGCATCGGCTAGGAGAAAGAACAACGGGAATGATGGCAACTCCAAAACTGATGCCTTGCTACATTTATTTGTACAAATTTATGGGATGTATTTGAAATTTTGCTATATGTACATGATGTGTAGTGAGCAAATCAGGGTATTTAGGGTGTCCATCTTCCAAGCACAAAACATTTTTTTTTAACTAGAGTCACTCTACTCTGCTATCAAACATTGAATTTGTTTCTTCTATCTAACTGTATGTTTGTACCCTTAAACTCACTTCTCTTTGTCCTTCCCCTTTGTCCCACTCACCCTTCCCAGTCTCTGTTCTCTATCTTTCCACTCTCTACCTCCACGTGATCAGATTTTTTAGCTCCCACGTATAAGTGAGAACATGTGATTTTTGTCTTTTTGTGGCTTGCTTATTTCACTTAAGATAATGACCTCCAGTTCCATCCATGTTGCTTCAAATGACATGATTTCATTCTTTTTGCATTCTCATGCACTAAAAATGCGAGTGCAGGTATTTCTTTGATATATTGATTTCTTTTTCTTTGGGTAAATACCTGGTAGTAGGATTGCTGGATCAAATGGTAGTTCTATTTTTAGTTTTTTTGAGAAGTCTCCATACTGTTTTCCATAGTTGCTGTCCTAATTTACATTCCTACCAACAGTGTATAAAAGTTTCCTTTTCTCCACTTCTTTACCAACATCTGTTATTTTTTGTTTTTTTAATAATAGCCATTCTGACTGTGGAAACATGATTATTTCATTGTGGATTTGATTTGCATTTCTCTGAGGATTAGTGATGTTGAGCATTTTTTCATATACCTGTTTTATATGTGCGTCTTTTTTTGGGAAATGACTATTCATGTCCTATGTCTACTTCTTAATGGGGTTATTTATTTATTCATTTTTTTCTGTTATTGAATTGTTTGAGTTCCTTGTATATTCTGGGTATTAGTCCCCTGTAGGATGAGTAGTTTGCAGATATTTTCTTCCATTCAGTAGGTTGTGTCTTCACTCTGCTGATTGCTGTGCAGCCTTTTAGTTTAATTAAATCCTATTTGTCTATATTTGTTTTTATTTCCTATGTTTTTAATGTCTTAATCATGAATTCTTTGCCTAGACCAATGTCCAGGAGTTTTCCTGTAGTATTTTTATAGTTTTGGGCCTTACATTTAAGTCTTTAATCTATTTTGAGTTGATTTTGATATATGGTGAGAGATAGGGGCCTAGTTTCATTCTTTTGCACCTGGCCATCCAATTTTCCCAGCACCATTTAGTGAATAGAGTGTCCTTTCTCAAATTATGTAGTTTTATTGCTGGATTCTCTATTCTGGTCCATTGGTCTATGTGTGTATTTTTTATACCAATACCATGATACTTTGGTTACTATAGCCTAGTAATATATTTTGAATTCAGGTAATATGATGCCTATAGCTTTGTCCTTTCTGCTCAGGATTGCTTTGGCTATTGGAGCTTTTTGGGTTCCACATAAATTTTAAGATTTTTTTTTTCTAATTCTTTGAAGAATAACAATTGTGCTTTGATAGGGATTGCATTGAATCTGTAGATTGCTTTGGGCAATATGGTCATTTTAATGATATTGATTATTCTAATCGATGAGCATGGGATGTTTTAATATTTGTGTTGTCCTTAATTTCTTTCAACAGTGTTTTTTTTTGTGTTTTGCCTTGTAGAGAACTTTCACATTCTTGGTTAAATTTATTTCTAGGTATTTTTTTTTGTTGCTATTGTAAATGGGATTGCCTTGATTTCTTTCTTGGCTACATCATTATTGGTGTATAAAACCCTACTGATTTTTGTGTATTGATTTTGTAACCTACAACTTTATTGAATTAATTTATCAAGTCTAGGGGTTTTTGGTAGAGTCTTTAGATTTTTCTAGGTATAAGATTATATCATCAGCAGAGAGGGACAGTTTGAATTCCTCATTTTCAATTTGATGCCTTTTATTTCTTTCTCTTACTTGATTGCTCTGGCTAGGACTTCCAGTACTATGTTGATTAGGACTGGTGAAAGTGGGCATCTTTGTCTTATTTCAGTTCTTAGAGGAAAGGCTTTCAACTTTTCCCTGCTCAATATGATGTTAGCTGTGGGCTTGTCATATATAGTCTTTATTATTTTAAAGTATGTTCTTTCTATGCCTACTTTTTTGAGTGTTTTTATCATGAAGAGATATTGAATTTTATCAAATGCTTATTCTGCATCTGTTGAGATTATCATAAGATTTTTGTCCTACATCCTGTTAATGTGATGTATCATGTTTATTTATTTGCTTATGTTGAACTATCCTTGCATCACTTGATTGTGATGTATGATCTTTTTGATGTGCTGTTGGATTTGCTTAGCTAGTATTTTCTTGAGGAATTTTGTATCTGTATTCATAAGGCATGTTGGCCTGTGGTTTTCTTTTTTTGTTGTGTCCTTGTCTGGCCTTGTACAATGAGTTAAGGAGAATTGCATTATCTTTAATTTTTTGGAATGGTTTTAAGAGTATTAGAATTAGTTCTTTCTTTGTTTGGTAGAATTCAGCTATAAATCCATCTGGTCCTGGGTTTCTCTTAGGAGAATTTTTATTACTGATTCAATCTTGTTATTTATTATTGGTCTGTTCAGGTTTTCTATTTCTTCTTGATTCAGTGTTGGCAGCTTGTATGCTTCTAGGAATTTATCCATTTTCACTAGGTTTTCCAATTTGTTAATGTATAGTTGTCCATAATAATCTCTGACGATCTTTTATATTTCTGTGGTAACAGAAATCATCATTTACGAAGGTTAATCTTGCTGGATATAGTATTCTTGACTACAAGGTTATTTTTTTTTTTCCTTTGAATATATCATCCCATTCTATTCTGATCTGTAAGTTTTCTGCTAAGAAATCCACTGTTAATCAGTGGTATATGTGATTTCCTTTGTAGCTTAGGGTATAGTTTTTAGTGTAGGCTGTGGTGACATTTTGCTGGTTACTAGGATGCCAGAGGGGCAGTGCTTGGGCAGCAGTAGGCTGAGTATACCTGTTCTTGAACCCCAAAGTGGTTTATGCTGGCACTGGTATTAGTGGGTCCTGGAGGGCTGATTCTTGGGCCTCCAGGTGGCTCGCTCAGATGCTGGCAATGGCAGCAGTGTGCTTGGTGTGTGCACAGATTCTCAGGACCCTGGGCAGCTGGTGTGACGTGGGTGATGGCAGTAACAGTGGTGGAGCAACCCACTGGGAACTAAGTGGTCCATGCTGGTATTGGTGGTGGCTGGGATGGCAGTGGGAGTCAGCTGTGGCGGTATTGGTAGATTGGGTCAGCCCGACCTCAGACCCAGGCAGGAGTAATCAGTGATCAAGTGCCAATGGTGGTGGCCTGTGCTTGGCAATATCTGAGGCCCTGGATGGCATACTTGAGTACTAGGGTGGTGGGTGGTGGTGGTGGTGGTGGTGGTGGTGGTGGTGGCAGTGGCTGAGGCCACACCAGCTGTCCTCAGGCCTCCTAGTGGTGTATTTGTGTGCTGCCTGTGACAGGCAGGGGCTGTGTGGTCCCCAGGACTCTGGCAGAATGCTCAGGGGGGTGGGAGGGGTGTGGTGGCTGCGCTGTGGGCCTGCCATCAGGGTGGAGAGGGCCTTCTCAGGTGCAGCAGCATGTGCAGGTGGCTTTGGGGAGTGCAGTCTGCTTGTGACTCGGTCTCATAGCAGCTCATAGCAGCCATGGTGGGATTTGTCTTAGGGGTGCATGGAAGTGCCCAGTCTCCCCTCTCTTTCTTTGGCCTGGTGGCAGCAATGGCAGCAGTCACATTAGTCTGGCCTCAGAGCGGGATGTAGAACCCCGGCAACTAGGCTGTCTGCATGGTGCCAAGCTGAAGCTGCTCTGGGATTGGATGCCTGTGGACTGCATGTGAGTTTCCTTTCTGGAGTCTCTGTGTGACTCAAGGCAGCTCCCTATGTTAGGCCTGAGGTCCATGTGGTCAAGGGGTTCTCCTGTAGCCAAGATCGCAGAAGCCTGGGGTGGAGGTGTGAAGTCCTGTGGGTTTTTCCCTTACTCTTTCCTTATGTCCAGGAACTTATTCTGGGTCTTAGCTGATCCTGGCCGAGCAAGCTGCCTGGCATTGCTCTCTGTCCTGGCTTTCAGTGCTTCCCGTCACTTCTGTTGAATCCCAGTGTTCTGTCTTAGACCATCTATTTGAAGTGTGAATACCTACTTACTGTTCTGGCTCCTCTGCATGCAGGTGGTGCACACTAGCTGCACTTAGTCGGCCATACTGACTTTAGAATGCCTTGTTTGAAGTGACAGCAAGGGTTGTGGGGGTGCTCCTCAGGTGAATTTTCAATCATACACTCTAAGAAACCTATTTCTCACTACTGGATTAGAAAACATAATTCTACTTTTGGTTTTGTAGTTCACCAGAAAAAGATGGAAGTAGCATATTTGAATGGAAAATGCAACATTCATTGGACAACACTGAAAAATGCCCGAAGAAAAAGAGATTAAGTGAAAATGATTAGCTCTTCTTCCAATCAGATCAGCATTCATTTAAACCACGAGCACACTCTGGTTTAAAGCCTTTTATTGCTGGGGTTTCCTGGTTTTTGTTGTGGTGGGGACCCCTTTGGCAGTCTGGGAGACCCCTTCTCAGCATGACCTTTTAAAATGCATATGATAAAATACATACATTAAAAAAGAAACAAATTGTATTGAAAGAAAATTATTAAAATATTAAGAAAAACAAATTTGTGCTATGTTAACATTTTTGCTTCTTTGTCAAGGCAGCCGATAGCCATATTTAGCAACAGGTCTAACAACTGGTATCGTTTTGAAGGGGTGATCTCTTCACAAAGAGCTGCCTGCGGTGAAATCCTCTAAGTCTAGAGAAGCTTCAGGCTTCTTCCTGGAGCCGTTGGATTTGGCGACAAGCTCAGCCACTCTGGAGTCAGAAGAAATGGAAGCACTGATCTAGAACAAAAATGAAAAGAAATTTTAAAAGGCCTCTGCCCAGGAGAAGGAAAAAGGGTCAAGGGTCAGGCTGCTAAAGAGAAAAGACCTATGCCTTCGGATTTATTCTCTGTTAGGGAGGGCTGGGTCTCTTCTGAGGCCACGGCGGTTTCTGAATCAGCCCAGGCAGCAGCAGCAGCAGCTAAATGTTGCTTTCATAGGATTTGTCTCATAGAAAAAGAACTGAATGGTTCCTAATGTTCTCTTTGACGTTCCTTTGAGGAGTGGCCCTGCTTATGATTTTGTGTGAAGACCAAACAACATGAGCTTAGCTATTTTGTTCATAATGGCAATAGAATTTCACTGTCAACCTGCAGAAACATAACAAACTGTTGTCTCAGTTCTCCAGCTGGGCTCTTGCAGAGCAAGCACTCTGCTGAGATTCCTACCTGAAAGATACTTCTCTATCCTGTCTGTCTGTCTGCCTGTTCCTCTCTGTTTCTCTCTCTTACACCTGCCTACCTACTTACACGCTAAAAACAAACTCACAATAGTGGTTTTTTTTTTTTTTTGGTCTGTTACACATAATATATTCTATTATTTTTGTTTGTTACACTTGAATTTCATGTTTTAAGAAAATGTTAGGAGAAATAGTTATGCAAAAAGCGAATGTCAGATATTTTAAAGTTACCAATGCTGTTTTAAAATAATACAAAGGCATCATTCAAGGTGATGAATGCAGCTAAAGCAGAAATTATTACAGGCTGAATTATATGTGATATGTATAGATTTGCTTCTATGTTTAGCAATCAAGAAGCCAAGCATAAATACATATACAGGTGGATCACACTCTTACAAAATGACAACAAATGTACATATGGTTATAGGCATCAAAATCCCGTAGTTTGTATGACTAGGGAAAAGAAGCTTTTAAATGTCTGAATAATATGAGCTGGTGCCAGACACTGAAGTGAAATAAAAGGCTTATGTTAAGCTTAGATTTTAGGCGGTACCTCTATTCCTAAATATTATAAACTATTTCCTATTGCAGCATTTAAGGTGTTGATTCCAAGAAGTCTAGTATTAAGCATAAATAATACCATTGAGTGTAGCCAACAAACTTTAGGCCATAAGAAACTCCTTCCAGTAAAGACACTGGAAGTAAATATATTGGCAGGGCTGTGGGAGCATCATCTCAGAGACACTTAGCAGTAGGTTCAGGGTCCCTGGAAGGAGAGGTAGGCCCTGTTGGGTTGTTGGAGGTCCTTCCTTGTCTGAATGCCCAATATTAAATCTCAGGGTTTGGGGTTACAATTCTCTCCTCTCCTTTAGAAAATGCCTTTCAGATAAAATGCCAGCTTTGAAAAAATCAATTATAGATGGGTCACTTAAGACATTTTATTTTTGCCAAGAATAAATTGCTAACCAACAAAGATAACTACATGTATTTGATTTTTCGAGTCCTCCATTCTGAACATTAAGGTCCTTGTATTCTTTTAAGTCTGGAAATTCCATTTTTTCTACTGCTAAATTAAGATTGTGGGAATAGAAGCCTACTTCCTCTTTAATTAAACTTTCAGTTTGGATATCTGGATATTTAATTTTTTTTTTTTTTTTAATGATTGTTCACTTTAAACACAGGGTCAAATTCTTGTACTAGCCATTCATTTGCAGATAGTCTGGGAATCTGATCCCAAGTCATCAACGTGGCTGCTTTTTCCCCTCCTTTTGGGAAAATAAAGATTAAGCTAGCTCATATTTCCTTCACAAGAGACTCAATACAACCTTTAATAGGTATGTACAAATACACTCATGTCAGTAATTTAAAGGCTCAATCTCCCTGGAAAATTAGATAATAATCAACTAGAAGAAGACTTTCCTTTATTGGACTTATTTTACAAACTACAGCAGGAGGAAAAGAGAATTTTTGGATTCATGGAAAAGCACCCACTGTTTATAGATTTCCAAATAGCATTTTTCCAGACATGATCTCAACAATACTAATTCTTCAGGGGCAAAATGAGTTGGTGACCAAGAATTATTCACTCCACTTTTGGGATCAAACAGCCGGGGCCGAGGTAGAAACTATTTGCAACTAAGCAGCTTGGGGCCCCGTTTGGCTCAAACTGGAACTAATTCCCCATCTCGTGCTTATATAGTGAACCGTACACCATTCTGTTAAATTGCATGATGTGCTTTCACTTGTTCAAAGAAAGCAGGACACATTCTTCTCAAAGAAAACCTTCAGTTCACATTTGGGTGATTGCATGTGCTCAGAGTCCGTCAGTGTTATGGACAATTTATTTTTTAGTAAGTCACTTAGTGGTGCTCTTGATAAAGCCATAATTCTAAGTGTGTTGTTGTGGTTATTTCAGATAGCTAAGCACCAGAAAAACAGATTAATGCTGACACCAATGAAACTGGTCTTGGTCCATTTAACTGCTTATATGCACTGAGACAGCCAGTTGGACCCTGGATATGCCTCTGGGATATTTTAATACTTATTTTTATCATGCATTAAATAACTTACCTCTTTTTCTATTTATTTTGAATTACATTTTTCACTTTATGGCCACTTAAGTTACATTTTTGGGGCAATGAATTGGGATGGCCATATGCAGGGCTTCTGTGGGTTGTCTATTATTGCCTTTAAAACAAGTAAGGTTTATTTTTATTATCACAAAAGTGACATCTAATCATTGTAGAGGAGTTAGGATATTCAGAGTTAACATATTGGAACATATGTTAAATATATATCTTTATATTCTATATTTTAAAATAAATTTAGAACATACTATTTTTGGTTGATTTTTCGTATGATAATATATTATGACCAATTTTCTCTATTTTTGAAATAGTTCTCTTTAATATAATTTTTAAAGACTGCCTTGTATTTTATGGTATGTAAGTTTTATAATTTAAACAGAACTCTTTTTTTGGTTATTTGTGCAGATTCTAATTTTCAGCTATTATAAACAATGCTCCTATGAACATATTTGTAGACAAATCTTTGAGTGCATCCATACTTTTTTTTTTTTTAGAATAAATTGCTAAAAGTAAAATTATGGAGCCAGAGAACGTGAATGTTCTCAAATTTCCTTCCCGAAAAGCTGCATTATTTCAGCCCCAGCTGGTTTACCACTTCTCTCTTTTGGCTCAACGTTTCTTCACACAATTGCCATCTCTGGTTGTCAAATAAGGTGATCAATTTTCCCCTAATTTTTATGCTTTTTTTTTTTCCTGAATGCAAATATATCCTCGGAATCCTTTTCCACACGGAATTTAGACATAAAAGGCAAACTGATTAGAATTGTCCCACAGGAAGCAGCCTGTTTGCCATGATTGCTTTTTGGCTGTGAGTGTGACCATAAGTGGGCTGAATTAAGACAGCTGGTGGTTAGGGACCACACCATCACATGTCATTGTCACCGTTTAGGCTTGAAGGAAGTGCATAAGGGCAGGACAGCGGTCTGGCTTCAGTGGCTTTATGTGTGCTAAGAAATCAGACCTACTAGTAAGGAGAGAGTCTGGGGGTCCTGCTTGCCATCTTCATTTCGGATTTGAAGCTGGGCTTTCATCGGAGGATCCGAAGGAGGTAGAGGGGAAGCTAGGCGAATTCCTCAAGGATCAGGTAGCGTATGAGGGCTCCGTCAGGGAAGCTTCCCACTCCATTAGCTAATAGAACACTCACCCAGCCCTAAAAACGGCAGTAACTTTTAAAATCCAGGTTGAGCCGCTGTGCCTTTTTCCCATGCCTGAGTCGTCTGCTGAAATTTGTCCAGATTTATTATTTAGGAGCTCCTGAGCGGGCGCTAGCTGCCGTGGGTGTGAGGGACCCGCACCAGGCCTCCCGCAAGGGCTGTGGATGCAGATCCAAGCTGGGCACAGCGTTTCCGCCCGCTGGGTGCTTGGAGCTTTCTGCACCCCCAGGGTGCTGGCTAATCGCCTGGAGAACCTGACCTTTCAACCTCTGCACCCTGCTCTCTCCCACCTGGCAGCTTCACGGCCAGGCCCGAACATCAGAAAACAGGAAGAAGAACATGCAGGCAGGCAGGCTAGCGACTTAGGACAAAACCAAGCCACTCTGAAAGTCAATTTCTGAACTGCCTTAGCCCCCACTTTGTAAAGCATTTCTCAACAGAGTTTTCTTTGTGGTGGTGACACTGAAATGTTTCTTCTGCCAACATTTTAAAATCCTTTTAATTTTAACGATTTGCCTTATTTTTCCAAAAAATTGTGTATGCACAATACTTCAGAAAAAAAAGATCCTTGATGATTTGGACCTTGTACAGCTAGATTTCTGGCAGGCTTATAAAAGCATTTCTTTTTTTAATTGCAAAATATGCTGGGAAGCAGAGAATGTTTTTATTCCTGATTCAGATATTCTTCTTGCGAGAAAGCGTGGTTTCCAGATAACCTTTTACCTTCTTACCTTCCGATTCAGTCTGTGGGGAGCGAGCCTGGACTGTGATCAGGGCTGGTCCTGCCCCTTCTCCCCCTTTCCCTCCTTTTCCCTCCTTCCTCCCATGCCTTCGCTCTCTTTTCCTTTGCTCCTTGTCTCCATGACCCTTTTCTCTTCTTCGGTTCTCGCCAGTTCTGTCTTGCGTTGTGACTTAACATGGCTCTTGATAACATGAAAACTTGCTTGTTGACGACAAGCCCAGAGCTTGTTCTCTGGGTGTGTGCATGTGTGCACGCATGTGTGTGTGTGTGTGTGTGTGTGTTAATAGCAGCACAGTCTCGTAAGTGTGTCCCCTCCCCTGCTCGCCCACGTATATGAACCAATAGCTGAAATAAGGGAAGGAAGCAAATTGCATGTCTGACAGGTGGGCCTGTCGTCTCATGTCATAATCCTTGCACCTCTTCAGATCAAACGAGGAAGCCCTTAGGAGAAGTTTCATAGGCAGTATTTGATATATGTTTTCATGTATTTTATCTTCACTGTCTTTGTTTTTATCTTCTCTTTTAAAACACACACACGCTCAGATGAGCCTATTTTATAGCTCTAAGTAGCATCTTTTTGAGTGTGAATTTAGATCATCATTGTACTTTGGCCTCTGACTTCAGTTCTAGTCTCATTTCTAAATTCAAGTTTATAGGCATAGGGGGACAGAGAGGAAAACGGCCATGACAACATGCATTTGCCCTGCCCAGAATGCCTGTTTTTCTGGCACCTAGTGAATGGACTGGTGTTGTTTCACACAAGGCCAGTAGTTAGTGGGACTGAAAGCCAAGTAGCTTACCGTGTTAGCATGAGAGGGAGTCATCTGCTCTGCGGGTGTTAATCTCATGAAAGCCAATGCCTGCGCCAAGTGTCGTCTCTTCTACTGTCTGTGTGATCAGGATAAAGAGAGTAATTTCCTAGAAAGTAAACTCCAACGAAGCCTCATTAATTAAGAAAGGAGGGCATGGATATTTGTATTAGTTCGGTTAGAGTCGAGTTAAAGCTTGCATTTGTGCTGTCTTCCATGAAGGTTTGTAGAACAAGAGAATAGTGTACCCAAGGCAAAGAAAACATTTATTTTACTCAAAATGACATTTTAAGCATGTCAGAAGCACCCTTTCTCTTACAACAATTGTTAAAATAATTAAAACAATTTTTATATTTGCATTACACTATAAAAACCTGAGAGTAATAAAATCAGATTTCCTTAAAAATATGGATAATAATAAGAAGCCTTAAATCTATATTAGGGTAAGGTTAGCCAATATTTATTTTGATATTTTTATTTACATCTCACAATGATCTAATGTAGTATGGCGGGAACTATTATCCTCATGTGCTAGTTGGGTTAATTAACTTTAGTTGCCATAGCTGGTAAACCATGCATCCTCAGTGGTTTAATACAACAAAGGTTTCTTTCTCCATTACGAAAAGTATGATGGTAACTGGACCACCTCTTTAAATCTTGCAGCCATACCAAATTGAACACCTGAAACACATAGCCTCTAAGGCTGCCTGGGCTGAGAAGGAGATGGAGGAGATGCACTAGCTGACACCTGCCTTCACCTGGAATGATCCACATTGTACTTTCACATTGCACTGGCTCAAGTGAGCCGCTTGGCCCCAACCTAGCGGCAGAGCGTTTGGGTAGTGTATCTGGAGACCGTTGCCATTCTCTGCCTAACACAATACTACAAACAAGAAAATTCCAAATAATAAGTAACTTGTGCAAATTCACACAAATATTACATGGAGAAGCTAGGTCTTTTAACCCCAATTCCACTGAATTTATACAATAGCTATCTCTGTACATAATCAAATAATGTAGTTATTTTGCTAATTCAAATACATTCTCATTTAATCCTTAAGACACTGAGGCAATCCTTGCATTTGTTGCAGATTTTGGGGGAATATAAGGAAAAATCCTGATTATTCCTATTATAAACATTATGTGGGATCCCACTTTAAAGATGGCATTTGGCACTCTGTATGTGTGTTGTTTCCTGTACTCCCAGTGTAACCAGATCTGTGATGAGACAGCGTGGTGGAGTGGAAAGACCATTGGCTTTGGTGCCAGATAGATCAGTTCATATCCTTGTATCACCACTTACCAGTAGTATAATATTTTGAATAAGTTATTTAACTTCTATTATTTTCATTCTCTTCATGTAATAGAGATAGCAATATCTATCATGCTTATTAAAAGTACCTGGAAATAGTAGATGCTCAGTAAATGTTATTAATATTTTTCTTTTTATATCCCTTAAAAAGCAATAAGTTTAAGTTCTTAAAGCAACATATCTTAGATTTAGAGGATGAAATGTAATTCAGCCTTAATGTAAAGAAATTTTATCGAACTAAAAAATATGTATGAATACATATACTTAAATAATGGGGAAAACATCTTGAGTCAGTAATTTAAAAAGCAATGTGCATTGATGAAGAAATGCAAAGATATAGTCACTGGCTGGTTTGAGAGGTTAGTCTGATGAAATACAGGCTGACCTGTGTTCCTTGGATAATAATAGGTTGATAAATATAGGTTTTGATGGACCATCTGGTACTGTTCAGCTCTGCCCAGCCCTATGTTTTCATGCTAATGATTATCTGTGTTACACACGAAGAAACAATGGAAGGAAAAGCTCCTTGCAACAGTGATGAACTTGCTATATGAAAGTCTGACAGTTGGCATATCCAGAGGACTCCCCAAAAATGTCAGGGTTGAGCTGGGGAAGGTTGGCAGCAGAGCTCTGTATGTGTTTGGCTTGCAGATCATAACCACTCCCCTAAGTCCCAAAGTCATTATCACTCAAATATATCTTTGGTTTTCTTGGGCAGCAAAAAAAGTGCTAAATTTTAAGCATATTGTGTAGAATATCCTCATAGCTGTATGAAAAATGTGTATGTTGACACGTGGAATCTAGCAGAGAGATATATACACTTTCAGATTTCCCTGATTTCAAAGTCCAAGTCCTAAGTTTAATGCAAATCCCTATTGCAAAGGGGTTTTAACATTATCCTTTTGGGTTCTGGGGACACTGGGGTGAAAAGAGAGAAGCGGTCTCTGCTCTCATGGAGTGTGCACTGGAGTCTGCCATCATATCTACTATCCATGAATGTCATTTTTGAGCACTTCCATTAGCACATAATTGATGGCTTGCCACTTTGATTCATTTTTTCACCCGTCCATCCATATACTTATTTATTGAGGGCTCAGAACTCACCTAGGACTTCTGAGAAAATGCTTTCTACGATCAATGGAGAAAGAGACCAAAGTAGCCTTTCCAAGGTTTCAGTGTTCCATGGAACCATCTTTTAACCCTCGTTCCAACTGAGGGATGTTGGAACCTGGAGGTGCTGAAGGCTTATTGACAATAACAAAATCCAAGTTCATTGTTCTGAGTACCACACTATTATGAGGAATTTAAAATTTGGAAAACGGCTTTACAGAAAATAAAAATCACGATCAAAATGGATACAAGGAATTGAAGATGACTTAACCAGAATATATTCCAGTTATTAAACTTGGAGATGGGAACTTGAGAGACCCCCTTCCCTTCCAATGTTCCAATGTCCTCTTCCAATGTGTTCCGAAGCACAATAAAGAGAAAAACCCCACTGGCTAAGAAAAATATTGCCTAGCTGTGCTGTAATTCAAAGCAGGTTTCCAAATATTCCTTCTGAAAATTTTTTGAGTCTCAGAGCAACAGGGGTAACCACAGCCCCCGAGTGTGAATGATGCTGCCAGGATTGGGGAGCGGGGGAGGAAGCCAGCACCTTTTAACAGATGCACTCTCAAGGCAAATACAATAAAAATCAAATCAATTTTCTGTGGCTCCATCTCCCCTCGCCTGCCTGTGAACCTGTGCCTATGCATTCTGTGAGTGAAAGAGCTCTTCGCCAAATGGATTTATGAACAGAAACTGGACAAAGTGCTTTAACACGTGAGACAGACATCTCTCTTCTTCCATTCTTCCACCCACTCCCCCTGGCTTTTCTGGTTTTGCTAAAGGTACCTGCCTACCAATTTTTTGGTCTCTTGGCATGGAACCATCTACGAACTCTCCTCGTTCTTTGCTCCTAACATCTTGGTAGTTTCCAAAATCTTTTTGATATTATTGCTAAAATATGTTTTCTCCTGCTCTCTTAACTCACTTTATTTCTAATTCCTCATGTCCCATTCTCTCTCCCCATGCTTCCATCTACTGAAATTGATTTTTCCACGGTGACTGATGACTGCCATGTTGCTGACACTCAAAGTCAGTGTTCTGTTTCAACCTCAGCCCTGCTCTGAGCATTATATAACACTCTCCCTCTTGAGACCTCCAGGGCCCCACCCCCTCCCGGCCACACCTCTTGGTCTTCACTGCCAAGGTGCCCTCCTTCGCCTCTAATGTTGGAGTTCTTCAGGACTTAGTCCTCAGCCCCCTTCACAACATTTTCTAGGTGGTCTCATCCATCCTGAGATCTTTATTATTTTATTATTAAAACAATGCATTCACTTGCCAGAAAAATTTCAAAACATAGAAGTACAAAAAATAAATGTGAAAATCTACCTTCATTCCTTTGTCCTCAGTAGTTCCTCAGCCTCAATTAATTTTAAATATTTGTATTTTTAGTTCTTTTGCTTTACTCCAATACTCTGGGTAATATTAAACATATTTATCCCTCTACTAATCGAGTTGTTAATTTCAGGTAACATCTCTTCCTTTCTTACTATGGAAGAGAGGAATTAGGTTGCTGATAGTACCTTACATTGACTCTCCAAACTTTTTTGTTATGTGATTTATAGTTGTTCTATTGTGTATCTGTATATAATGCCTAAACTCCTTCTAGATGTGTCACCAGCTTCTGATGATATTGTTTGCTTTACTATGAAAGACCAGGAGAGAATCACACCCGGGCTTCCCACGTCACCTCCTGCACCTCACTTCTCTGAGCTGTGCATTGCTTTCTAGTTGCTTTGCTTTCTCTTTGATTCTCTCCCTCTTTTCCTGCCTTCAATTGGAGTGATCAAGCTTTATTGCTCAGGCCCCTTTACTGATTTGATATGTTCTGCATACCTTTTATATTCTTTTCCATGGTTACCCTTATAATTTTAATATGCATACTCCATGTCACCTAACATTAATCAATGTCTCCAGCCTCTTATTAAAGAAGGTCAAGGCACAAAATGTTCAGATGTTCCATCAAGTGAGAGCTTGCTGCAGGGAGTGTAGTGAGCTGGCAGCCCCCGCTCGCTGCACCTTCAGGATCTACAGCGGTGTCCATGCCGAAGCCCTGCTCACCCGCACTGTCCCCGGCTGAGCTCAGGAGGTGCGCTGGAGCCGGCTGTTTCTACCTGACACGGGACTCCTTTGCCAGGCTGGTCCGCTCTGGCCTTCCCCACTGGCCTCAGGCGCGGAGAGATGCACTGCCACTTCAGGCTCTCCCTCCCCCGCCCTTCTTTCACCCCCCCTCCCTTTCACATGTCAGATCGGTGTCACAGTCTGAAGGACAATCCTGACTACCCCTGCTTCAAGTCCCCTTTGCTCTTCTCAGGTGTTCCCCTGTAACAGGCCTCTTGCACTTCTCACTCCATTGAGACATCTGATTCCATCATGGCATCTGCTTCCCGGAGAACCCAAAATGACATCAGCATTCTCTAATCATTTCTGTGTTCACTCGAGCTTCTGGTACTCCTGCCATTCTGTTCAGCCCCCATGCTTCCTTAGAGCACCATTCTCATTACCCTGAGTTTGCCCCACAAGGCCCTGCATGTCCGGTACCTCCTTACCTGTCCAAACTCATCCCCACCCCACCAGTAAATATGCTCCACCTCCTAATCCTCCTTGTGGCTTCTGTTGTCACATGGCTGTCTCCCCTGAGTATTGGTGTCTTCATGTGT